GATGACTAAGTAGAAACAGCTGTCCGCCCTTGTTTTGTCCTCGTAGGTGGTTAAGACCACGAACCTTTAGTTCATCCAGTTCTCTGACCTTATCCTCTTTTCGCCAGATGTTTTCTCTGATTTCCTCTTGAAAGGGGGCGTTGATGTCGATCTTATCCCAGGGCTTCTCATTTCTGGGCATTTGAGCCGCTGTTTGTCTAATAATTGACTCAAGCTCCTTGGGTGTTGTCTCATAGTTCTCTCCCTCCTTGAGTTCATCTTGATCAAGTAGAATCACATCAGTAGCACAGTTGACTAAGAGATCTCTGAGATATGCTCTTCGCTGTGCTTCATCTACATCTGTCCAGAGTTCAGACCATTTGTTGTGCACCAGCATTTCCTCAAGTTCATCGTGCATTTGATCATTGTAGTAGCTGGAGGAAGCCTGTTGTTGCTGTGGCGACATGTCTGACGTAGCATCGTGATCCCGGTGAGACTTGCAGGGATCCTCAATTATCTCAACACGATGCTCTTGCACAGAGACTAGACCTCTATACTTCGTTACATGCGGTCAATCCTCAGGATTGCCCGTTGACATCAGTTTTGAACTAGGTTCTAGTTGATGGCCTAAGTAGGAAGATGTACTCGTGGTAGCATCATCAGGACTTCCATTCCGTCCTTGGTCAACATCTATAGGAGATGCGCCTCGGAATGTTTTGCCTAGCTCGACCATGCTAGAGAGAGAGGCTAGGGATTTTTGGCTGGCTGAAGTAGTGGGTTGTTCATTGGTAGAGGTGGAGGGTTGGTTTGGTTTTGAGGGTTGGCTTGTAGAAGCAACATGCTCAAGTATCCGCTGGCGCTTGTTCTCCCCCTCATGAGAATCCGAATCATCGGGATCCTCATGTGAACGTTTAGCGCCACGGAGACTGTCACGGCATGTGTTCTGAGTATCTAGAGCATGGAGAAGGGCTTTTTGAAGGGGGGTGAGGTTGCCTTCTTCCACGTCTAGTATACGGTCGTAGATCTCAGCTACAAGATCCTCGAAGGGTACGGTTGTTAGGTTGGGTTTGGTCGTTGTAGGGGAGAATACTAGTTCCGTATCCTGGGTTCCCCTTGATGTGGATGGTTGTTGATTTTCTATGGCTAAAGGTGTGGAAATAGGTATGGAAATGGTTGGGGGCTGTGTTGTTTGGGGTTTGGATGGTATATTCTGAACAACTGGGGTACTTCCAGAGTCTTGTGCATTAGCGGTTATTGCTTCATGCACCCATGGTTTAATGGTAGACTCTAGAAAGCTGTTCAGATATACAAGAATGTCTTCGGGAATGGTGGTACCAGTTACAGGGGTTGTAACTGTTCTCACAACATCAGTGAAGATAGCTGATGTGTGGCCTGCGTTCAATGATCGAGGCATTGTTGGCGTAGCAGGACTTCCGACCATCATAGTTTGCACTCCGGTCATTGCATTCAGGGTGAGTGCACCTGTATGTGCAGTGAATAGTGTAGGTGTCCTAGAAAAATGTGAAAATGTAGGAATGGTGACACCTAGACTCGATGTGATAGAACGGATGGGGGTAGTGGTCCGGGGCAGTTGACCACTAAGTCTCTCAGCAGATTCAGAAGGAATCAGTGAGGTCGGTGTAAGTTCCCCTTGAGATGTTGAAACTCCAGTCTGTTGGGAGACTGGAGAGTGGATGGGAGATGGCTGTGCATGCGCAGTTGAACCAGATGCTGTGACTTCTACCCGGGAACTGACAAGGTCAACTCCTGCTCCTAGGGGCGTGGTTCGGTCTATGGTGACGAAGGTGTCGCAGTCATCGTACAGTGCCAGCTCCTCTTCCACTGCACTTTTCTTTCTAAGCCTCTTCTTAGGCTGTGATGATGCGGATTTGTCACTTTTCTGCTTTGAGCGCTGCTCACTTATGACAATGCCCTTAAGTGGTCGGGACATGTGAGCAACCTCTTCATTGTCTGATGAGGAGTCGGAGTCTATCGGAATGGCTCTCTTTCCGGCTCTTTTCCTGTTGCTGATCAGGACTCCCTCCATGTCATCATCATCATCATTTGCATCATCATCCTCATCATCATTCCTCTCCTTTCCCTTGGCCATGCTATCGGAGGCCTCACCACCAGCCTTATTTGAAAGGGCCTGGCTTGATGGTTCATTGGCAGTGTCCTCAGCATTGATAGGGTGGCCCTCAGCAGTCTGGGTCCTCTCGGAAGAGTTAACAGACTGATCATCATTAGGCCCCAGAACTGTTGTAGATACACCTCTGGCACTGGTTTAGCTTCGTTGAATGCAGACCAGAGGTAATGCTTCTGTAGTATTGACAATATCACTGGATCCTGGCATTTGAAAAGCTTCAGGTCCAGTTGAAAGTTGTTGTCATACAGTGGGACCCATTTCTCCTTTGGGTACACTGCGTTGCTTGGTTGTGCAGTTCTGTCTGTTCCTGACATGATTGACTGAAAGAATTTGGTCAGCACATTGTTCAATTGAAAAGTTTTTATTTTTGTTCTGTTTTTGCAATTTTTCAGATTAGGTGTGTACAGGTGGGACCTCGAGAAGATTTCTGAGTGTAAACCACGAGGACCAACTTCTCGAGGTTTGAATATCGAGAAGTAGGTTCTCGAGGTTTAAATATCGAGAAGCTCTTCTCGATACTCAAACATCGAGAACTTGGTTCTCGATGTGAGAATATCGAAAAGTCCTTCTCGAGATCTAAACTTCGAGAACTTCCTTTCTCGATGTTTAAATATCGAGAACTGCTTCTCGGTATTTCAAACTTCGAGAAGTAGGTTCTCGGTATTTAAACATCGAAAAGACCTTTTCGAGGTTCAAATATCGAGAACTGACTTAAGAGATTTGAAATATCGAGAAACAATTCCTCGAATTCAAATATGGAGAAAGATGTATTCTCGAGTTCGCACTCTGAAGATATGTCGAGAACCACCTGCAATTACACACAATCATAATGAATATTCAAAACTTTTCGATTTTCAAGTTCTTGGTTCGAGAAAATTAGTTCTCGATAATCAACTTTTCGAGATTTTTCTAAAGTTGATGTCGAGAACCATTGCATTGTTTTCGAAAATCGTTTTATTGATGCCATTAAAGATCGAGAACTTAAATACCACCTTTTGATGGATTTGAGATGAGTTGAGAAGAAGGTTTGCGAAAAGGATTTTTGCTCTTGGACTTCAAGAACTGAGATTGCGAGAAAATGGGTATTCTGGTTCTCGAAGTCTCTTTTATACGCGAGAAAATCATTTGGGCCTTGCGAGAAAGTAATCTGGGCCCAAAAGTTTGAGATGGGACCTGGTTTTGTTTCAAAAATTATTTTGGGTCCCAAAGATTTATTTATGTACAGAAAAAAAAACTCCCCCTCAAATTGTGCATGACAAAAAATGAAAAACACACACACACACTCCTTTTTTTTTTCTTCTGATTTTCTCACACATACACACACTCTTTTTCTGATTTTCTGATTTTTACACACACACACACACATTTTTTGATTTTCTTCTTTTCTCCCCCTCAAAGTATTCTTCCCTCTTTTATTTTCTCCCTTTTTCTCCCCCTCAACACATGCAACGCACACCACACACGCACACATTTTATTCAGACCATGGAGATAACACAATTACATAGGATCGAGATTCAACATGCCTAACTTAGATACTAGGAACTGGAATCTCTTTTCATCCAGTGCCTTAGTAAATATGTCAGCCAGTTGAAGCTCGGTTTTAACAAAGTATAAATCAACATCTCCCTTCTCCACGTGGTCCTTGATGAAGTGATAGCGCAGGTCGATGTGCTTGGTGCGCGAGTGATGAACGGGGTTACTGGTTATGGCGATTGCACTCTGGGAGTCACTGTAGATGGGAATATGGTTGAATAGGAAGCCATAGTCTCTGAGTTGTGTCCTCATCCATAGGATTTGTGAACAGCAACTAGCAGCCGCAACATATTCTGCCTCTGCTGTAGAAGTTGACACGCAGTTCTGCTTCTTGGACGACCAACAGACTAGTGATAACCGCTTTCGCGGCGTTGTAGTAAAACGGAGTCTAACCTTTCGGTTTTTCCCCGAGTATCGTGTCTCTCGAGGAATGGCGGAGGAGCTTCTTGATTTCAAGTCCAGTCACAGGTTATCGCAAATTATTGGAAGCTTTCCAAATTAAAACTTTTGATTGATTTTCTAAACTACTTTTTGGAAAAGAAAGTAAATTAAATTGTGCAAATACTAATGATGGCTCAAAAATAGACTAAAGGAAAAAAATATAATATTAAACTTAAATGGATTGGTGCAAATAAGGGCAATGAATTGAGTAATTAGAAATGGATATATTCTTGGACCTAGTAATTAGGGAAATTAAAACTAAAATTGGACTAATAATTTCTTTCCTCATAGACAAGAATAGAAACTATTTTCATTAATTTATCCTATTTCTAGGTGTCATTAATGTGTTCAAAAATGGTTGGCTTGAATTAAATTCTAACCTCATAGACAAGGTAGAAATAATTCTCCAATATTTTAATTAATAAAAATAGCCGAATTCATTAACTAGTTAAACTCATTATTTAAGCAATTGAATTTATCTCTCATAGACAAGATGTAAATCCCTTTCATTAAATTATCCTATTTCTAGGCCTTATTAATGTGCTTGAATATGGTTGGCTTAAATTATTTTCTAATCTCATAGACAAGTTAGAGATAATTTTCCAAGAATTTAATTAATGAATATGGCTAACAATTATTAATTACTATTTCATCATTTCAAACAACTAGTCCAAATTATTAATTTTAATCCCTAATTTTCGGTCAACAAGTCAATCCATATTCCTTTAGTCAATTCATGCCCAAAACAAATTTAGCTAATAAACATCATTTTTTTCATTTAACAATACAATGAATAAATTCAACATTAACAAGGAATTAAGCATGTATAATAGCAAAAATTAAACAAAAATAATATTCTTCCAAAATAAACTTGTAGAACTAAAATATCACCTTCTGGAATTTTTCCCGAATTTTATAACCTAAAATCCAATTTTAACAACTAATTGATAATTTTCCCAATATTAACTAGAAAATACAAAAAAAGCAACTACAAATATTCTAAATTCGTTCTAAATTTTATATTGAATACTAGGAGTGATATTACTGTGAATTAACTGGAATTAGGACAGAAACTATTTTTTTTCCTTTTTGAGTATTTAATTTAATTTATGCAATAATAACAACTAAATGCCGGAATTAATTAAAATTTACTTCCACTTCGTAAAAATTAACTTTGTTTTGATAAATAACTACCTTGAGGATAGTAAACAACTATATAATTAATTGGAATGGATTTAATGTCAACAACTATTTTATTCAAATTTAAGAAGAAAATGCGAAATAGTGGAATAATTTTCTGAAAATTTTAGAAGCACAGATAGAAAAAACTAAGTACAGATTCAGATTCTACTCATTGAAAGGATGAAAATACATATAAAGAACTCACAATTTGGAGCTAAAATGAGAAAGATATGAAAGATTGAAGTTGAAGGTGCAACAATGGTGGAAATCCGAGCTTTGAGGAGGAAGAAGACGCCCTTTTTTATCTGATTTGGGCTTGAAATTGGTGTCTTTAAGTTCAGCAAAAATCGGGCAATTTATAGGAAAAATTTCCCCGAAGGCGGCCAACCAGGCGGCCGCCTTCCGCCTCTCTCCGGCCGCCTTCCGTCCTCGTCGCCGACAGCGGATCGTGGCCGGTCCCGTCAGCCGTAGGCGGCCACAGAGGGCGGCCGCCTTCCGTCACAAATGGCCGCCTGCCGTCTTTTCGTTGGCAAATCGGATCGCGGCGGATCCCGGCCGCCGCAGGCGGTCCAGCAGGCGGCCGCCTGCCGTCCTGTCTGGCCGCCTGCCGTCCTGTCTGGCCGACCGGTGGTTGGTTTCGTCCCCTTGTGCCGCAAGCGTCCACCGAGGGCGGCCGCCTTCTTCCTCGTGTCGGCAGCCTCCAGTCTTTTCCTGGTCCCGAGTCAAAGCGAGGTTGACTTCTAATTTTTCCCGCAGGCGGCCAACCAGGCGGCCATTTTGGGCGCCTATTTGGGCGCCTTCTGCCACTTTTGTCTGGCAGATGCGGCTTTTCCTGCTCTTCAACTTTGTCTTCTGAATCACCTTGATAAAATGCTTGCTTCTTCTGGTATAAATGCATTTGTCACTCAAATTGACTCATTTTGTGCTCAATTGACCCGAAATCCCGCTAAACATATTATGGATGTGATTTTTACCTGATTTCATGAAACTTGAACCAAAATATATAAAATGTGTCTTTTCTTTCTATTTTCATTCAAAAATCGCTTAAATTTGATAAGAAAAATAAGTACAAAAATGGACTTATCAACTAGCTTCTCTCCCAGAAATTGAGCGCCACCGGATGTACTTTTCCTGTCTAACTTGCAACCTGCGAAATCAGCATCTGAGTAACCAACAAGTTCAAAGCCTGTGTCCTTGGGATACCAAAGTCCTAAGTTGACTGTTCCTTTCAGGTATCTCAGGATTCTCTTCACCGCATTCAGATGTGATTCCTTTGGATTTGCTTGAAAGCGAGAGCGCATAGACAAGTTGCGAAGACAATATCTGGTCTACTAGAAGTCAGGTACAACAAGGAACCAATGATCGCCCGATAATTGGTAGCATCGACTGATATCCCGGAAGGGTCAGAGTCGAGCTTTTGTGAGGGAGACATGGGGGTTTTTATGGTTGACTTGCTGTCCATCTTGAACCTTTTGAGCATTTCATGGATGTACTTCGACTGGCTGATGAAAATTCCGTCTGGCAATTGTTTGATCTGTAGCCCTAGAAAGAAGTTCAACTCTCCCATCATACTCATTTCAAATTCAGTGCGCATCAAGTTGCTGAATTCTTCGCAGAAGTTCGGATTAGACGAGGCGAATATGATGTCATCGACATAGATTTGTATCAGCATGATGTCACTGTTCTCTCGCTTGATGAAAAGAGTTGGATCTATCTTTCCCTTCGAGTAGCCTGATTGCACAAGAAAATCAGATAGTGCATCATACCAGGCTCTCGGTGCCTGTTTTAGTCCATACAGAGCTTTCTTCAGCCTGTAGACATAATGTGGGCGTTCAGGATCAACAAAGCCTTCTGGTTGTGCCACGAACACTTCTTCTTTCAGCTCGCCATTGAGAAACGCAGTCTTTACATCCATTTGATAGACGGTGAAACTCTTATGAGCAGTGACATTCATGTTATTTCCGTGTTTATAATTGTGTTTTTGATTAGTTTTGAGTGATTGTTACTCTAGAAATTACACACTTTTGGTGTAATAATTTAGTTTGTAAAATGTTTGTAAATTGTTTAGATTAGGTTGGTTCTGAGCTCAAACAGGTCCAAGACCACTCTAGGGACCATTGGTGAACATCACAAATGGAAGGAAGGTGCAAAGATTTCAAGAAAAGATGAAGATTCTGATTTTTGGTAGCGTACCCGGTCGAGTATGCTCTATACTCGATCGGGTAAGTTGCTGAAAAGTCAAATCGAATCAACCCGGGAACAAGGCAACATGCAGGAGGATTTTTTAACTCGATCGCGTATCCATACCCGATCGGGTATGACCCCAGATTTTCAGTTTCGAGGAAATAACCCTTACCCGATCGGTTGAGCTGAAAACCCGATCGGGTACACGACCCTGCAGGCCTAAAAAGCCTATAAATACACCACATTTCCTCCACAATAAATGACCAATTCACATATACTTCTTAGCTCAGGTTAGACAAGTTCTTTCTTTATATTTTTCATCATGTTTAGTCTCCAAATGAGGAGCTAAACTCTTTCATCTTGGTTTTGCTACTTTGAAGCTTAATGATTTGTAAGTTGTGAGTTATTTTCTTTAATCTCCTTCCTTGAATATTAATTACTTCCTATTCATATCCCATATTAATATATTGAGCATTACTTAAAGTATCAACTAGTCTTGTTCTATATATTAATTATTACTAGAATCAATCGGTTAATACGCTTGTTATTAATTCGGTTCTTTCAATGGTAGTAAACTTGGATTGCTAATGCATGCTTCTCATGGTTAATAATCTAAGGGGAATTAATTATATTGATTAAACCAATAAACCGCTTGTGTTGAGGTTATCAATCTCAATCGTTTTCATCTTAAGTTTATTGCTACTATCAAGATAATATATGGCGCTTGTTCTATATTGACTCGATAGTAAGTTTTGTTAATGAACGCTTCTCGTTATTGATAACTACCCTCGATGAATTGGATATACTCCTCGATTGAGTATTCGAGAGGAAGATAGTTAAAAATATAACCGGGATCGACGAACATTTCATTAAGTGGATAAAAGCAAAGCCAGGTATTCTTCTCATTAATTAAATCACATAACTCGTTCATCTTCGTGTTTAATTTTAATTAAATCACTCAAACCTAAACCCTCCCTTTGTTACTAGTTTATAAAGAGAGAAGTATTCCTTTCCCTGTGGATACGAACCTTACTACACTATACTACGTATAAGTGTTGTATTGTATTATTATTTTGAGTGCACACCACGACAAAGTGCACGTCAAATTTGGCGCCGTTGCCGGGGAAAGGCAATTATTTTTCTTTTTATTTCAAGAAAAATCAAAAAATATAATTAACCAAAAATATAAAGAGTTGTTATTTTTTTCTATTTCTGAGCTTTGTGAAGTATATGGTCCGATATCGTTCCATAAACGAAATCACTTATCAAACAAACCCCGAAATAGAACAAGCCTTCGAGAGGTTGAGAAATTTATTTCCGCACACACCCTCGGAGGAATCCTCAAACGCTAGCTCTAGTTCCAGCGAATCTGAAGAGCCAATCACTATGGCTCAAGAAACAAGAACACTGAGGGAGCTCACGGCTCCAAACCTGAATCAACAACCATTGTGTATTACCTTCCCCACTCTTGATGAGGGTAATACATTTGAGCTCAAATCGGGGCTTATTCATCTTATTCCTTCCTTCCATGGCTTAAGAGGGGAGGATCCAAATAAGCATCTCTCGGAATTCCATGTTGTTTGCACAAGCATGTGCCCCAACGGAGTCACCGAGGAGCAAATTAAGTTGAGGGCTTTTCCATTCTCCCTCAAAGACACCGCAAAGGATTGGTTATTCTATCTTCCCTCGGGAAGTATAGGTACATGGGCGGCCATGAAGAAAGCTTTTCTCGAGAGGTATTACCCCGCCTCCGTCTCCTCATCTCTAAAGAAACAAATTAGCAACGTGGAACAAAATGATGATGAATCGTTCTATGAATATTGGGAACGGTTCAAAAAGCTTTGTGCAAGCTGTCCATACCACGGCTATTCGGAGCAAGACCTCATCCTATACTTTTATGATGGTCTTTGCAATGATGATAGACGAATGATCAACGCCGCATGTGGGGGAGGAATCCTCAACAAAACACCTTCCCAAGCAAGAGACCTCATCTCGGAGTTTGCCGAAAACTCGAGACACTATAGCGGGAGGTCATCAAAAAAACGAGTGATGGCGGCAGAGTCCAACACCTCGTTGGAAAGTCAAGTTGCCGGCTTGACTTCTTTGGTTAAGGATTTCCTATTAAATTCCAAAACCCAAGAAGTCAATGTCTGCGGCATTTGCACTCAGCAAGGGCACCCAACCGACTCATGCCCAACGCTACAAGAAGACAACCCCGAACAAGTCAACGCTTTGGGGTTCCCAAATCAGAAAAGGTACGACTCCTATGGCAATACTTATCACCCCGGGTTTAGAGATCACCCCAATTTGAGATATGGGAATCCGCAAGGAAACCCACCACAAAATAACCCTCCACAAAACCAATTTCCTCAAAAACAACCGTACTCTAAACCCCAAGGCCAAGGCTCAACTATGTCCACCGAAGACATGATCCGAGCACTCACCTCAAATGTCTCAACCATGCAACAAAACATGGTTCAATTTCAACATGAGACAAAATCAAGCATCCAAAACCTTGAGAATCAAATGAGCCAAATCTCAAGTGCCGTGAGTAGGCTTGAAGCCAAGGATTCAACAAAGCTTCCATCTCAAACGGAGCCGAATCCTAGGCAACAAGCCCATGCGGTGACGTTGAGGAGTGGTAAAGAGTTGGTGATTGCCAAGGAGAAAGCCAAAAGCCACATTGGCGAGGAAGAAGAAGAGGAGCTTGTGGATAAAGCTCAACCGGAAGAGGAGGAGAGTCACATACCGACTCCACCACCGATCATTCATGAAGTGGAAGCACCGTTTCCCGAAGCTCTAAGGGAAACGAAAAGGGTGGAGAAAGACAAGGACATCTATGAGACATTCTCCAAATGTGAGGTAAATATTCCTCTTCTTAACTTAATAAAAGGGGTTCCTAGATTTGCCAAATTTTTCAAAGAGCTATGCACAATAAAAAGGAAGCATAGACTCAATGGAAAACAAAAAGTCCAAGTTAGTGAACGTGTTTCGGCAGTTTTCCAAAAGAAACTCCCAAAGAAATACAATGACCCGGGCATGTTCACTATACCTTGTAAGTTGGGAGGTACTACGTTTTCAAAGGCCATGTTAGACTTGGGAGCATCAATTAATGTCATCCCTTACTCTTTGTATAAATCACTTGAACTTGGCCCTCTAAATGAAACCGGAGTAGTTATTCAACTTGCGGATAGATCAAATGCCTACCCTAAAGGTATTGTCAAAGACGTACTAGTTATGGTAGACAATTTGATCTTTCCCGCCGACTTTTATGTTTTAGAAATGGAAAATGATAAGAATGCGGTTCCTATCCTTTTAGGAAGACCATTTTTAAAGACCGCTAGAGCTAAAATTGATGTTTTTAGCGGATCTTTAACTATGGAATTTGATGGAGATAAAGTTGAATTCAATATTTATGATTCCATGAAATACCCAAATGAAAATCATTCTCTATTTGCCATTGATATTATCGATCCCCTTGTGCAACATACTTTTGAAATGAATGGGGAGGATGAACTTCTAAGTGTGATTGAAAATGACCTCGGGGAAAATTCCCTAGAACTTGCTTTGACCCCCAATATACAAGCCATGATGGTGGAGTTGGATAACCACTTCCAACTTCCACTTATGCCACCGGGGTCAAGAGCATTCCCACTAACCATCCCCGAGGAAAAGCCTTTGCCTTCTATTTTGTAGGCC